CCCCTCCCCAACAAAAACAGCAACCTCCAACCACTCTTGAGTGTTTTTCTTTTCTTTTTGTTTCTTTCGGTAAGTGTTTTACGGCGCTCACAACTGCATAAGGTCATATGAGCAGCGTGCGGGACACATTAAACATTTTCAGTTGAGTTTGTAAAACATTTTGAATTTTGCCTGGTAGCAGCCGAAGCTTCCTCTTCTCGATTTTGGACCACCAAGGGATCTTTAACCTGCGTATATTGCACACGGGACCTCCGAGATTTTTCGCCCTGATCCGAAAAGGCTAGGTGTAGATCTTTCCTACCAGAAGCTCAGGGGTGTGGTTGAAAGACAGCAGTGAGAAGGACCCAAGGAGTGGCAGTAGAAAGGCTGCAGAAAGAGTCAGGAGCCCAGAGCAGGGGGCAAAGGAGGTGAGGGGGTGGGGGCAGAAAGTGGAGACGAAATAATACAACAGAACTTTGTTAGAGAGGAGGAAAGTTAATGAAAGGAGAAATTCTTACGAAAAGAAAATTTTCCGTCGTTGTCTGGATTAAATGAGAGACGAACACCTTAACTTCTCGACCACGAGAGCCCCCTCTCTGAGAGTAAATTACTAAAGCTGAGACAAAATAAGAAGACATCAAACAAAAAGATCTGGAGACAACAAATTTTATTGCCTTCACCATGAAAAAATTTATCTCAGGACCTATCATACACAAGTAAACATTAATAGACGATAAAACAAATCTATATCAGCCTTGGTGTATCTCCGTTTTTGCCATCCTCATTCATGATACATATCATTATCATACTGAGTCATATTATGTAGTCTTTCAGTCTTTCTCTCTCTCAATCTAACACACATACAGACATACATTATACACACACACACACAAATTTGTACGTGTGTGTGTGTGTAAAACACAATTGTGTCAAAACAACACAGAAATGTGTCAAATGTGTTCAATCACAATGATGCCACACAAATATTTTACACATCGATCACAACTACACGCATGTGTGTGTCAACACACAGATACAACTACACAGGTGTGAGTGTCAACACACAGATCACAACTACACAAGTGTGTGTGTGTGTTAGCAAGTCAACACACCGAAAACAACTACACAGGTGTGTATGTCAACACACAGATCACATCAACAACACACATGTGTCAAGGTCTCATTCCTTCTCAGCCTTTGTGCCAGGGAGATGAGGATCCACGGTTTTTGCTGAATTAGGTATCTAAAATCTAACTAAGCAGGAAGGGGGACAGGGTGGGGAGGCTGAGAGAGACAGAGGGAGAGAGAGAGAGGGGGGGAGAAAGAGAGAGAGAGAGAAAGGAAAGGATGGAGAGAGTGATAGTAAGTTATAGACAAAGAGAGAGACAGAGAGCCAAACAGACAGACAGAGGGGAGAGAGAGAGAAAAGAAAGAGAAAGAGAGAAAGAGAGAAAAAAAGAGAAAAAGAGAGAAAGAAGAGAGAGAGAGAAGAGAGACCGACTGACAGACAAACAGAGAAGGAGTGAGAGAGGGGAGGACACAAATGACCGTCCCCTCTGTCTGTCCCTCGTCCAGTCCCCCCCTGTGGTCAAACACGCAACTCAAAACATTCCCTTGCTCATTTTCTTCTCGGCGTTGTTGCGATTTCTCTGACCTTTGAACTTCTCTTTCATCCGCCTATTGTGCTGCACCTCTTGACTTTGACCTTGACCTGAAGAAAGAAAAAATGAAGAGAGGCATCGTGATGAAATCAGGTGCTCGTCAAAATTATGAAATCCGAGAAATCGGCATTTTTCGACCAGTTTGGAAATTTTTTTCAAATTTCTGTTTTTGGGCTCTACAGCTTGTATGTCTATTCAAAAACACTTTAAGGTGTGGATTTTATTTTTTAAAACGTTGATTAAAGGCACAAAAAAAGAAAATTTACAACAGTTTCCAAAGACTCTTAAGCTACGAAAGTCACCAAACTTTGGCAGCAATTTTCTCCCTAATTTTACTTCTGAAAGTAAGTGACCCCCGTCTTCTTCAATCGAAACTATCTCGACTTCTAACTTCTATTCAAGATAGACGGGTATTTTTTTCATCGAACGCAAGATGAACGAACAAGCCTAGAGATGACAATAATAATCATTAACTCCACGTGCCCAAGAATTGACGAGCGGCTGATTCCACCACGTCGTGACACAAATCAGGATGCACAAAAACAAAGGTAACATTTTTGCCCCTTATTTATTTTTAAAAACCGACAGGGTGAAAACTTTTATCTACAGTCTTTGACAAAGTTTTTATTGTTTGGTCAGATGACTTTTCAAATACCACCTGGATGAAAAAATGTTGTCTTTATATATATATATATAGAGAGAGAGAGAGAGACTGCGATGCAAACATTTTAGTGAAAGCAAAGATCATAAGCTAAAAAATCTCCCCACAAAATGGTGAACACTTCTGTATAGTTTACGGTCCTTCAATTTTGGTCAGTATTTTCTTCCATCGATGACTCGGGGCAGGAGATAATGACAATTCATTTGCAAACCATTATACAGTGCGACCTCTCTATAACGACATCGTCAGGACCAGAAAAAAATGTCGTTATAGAGAGTTGTCGTTATAGAAGCAACCAAAAATTACTAAATCTAATGATATATAAGGAAAAAATCGGGACCTGGGCACCATGTCGCTATACAGAGGATGTCGTTATATCGAAGGTCGTTATAGAGAGACTCCACAGAATGTCAAAATACAATAGGTAAATTTGGAAGCCCTTAACGACCTTAAATAATAAAAAATAACTTACAAAAGCTTCGAGCTGTGACCATAATAAAACAAAAAATTCCATTCCTATATTTACAGTCGACTCCGCTTGTGTTGATCTTCCGTTTAGTTCATCGTTTTCTCGGGCCCCAGCACCCCTTCTTCTATACAGATCCCAACAGTTAACCCTATCCGTACGCCCTGGAGTCATTTTGTACCCCCCACTGGTTGTATTCTTCACATTTTAGAATACTTTTAGTACGAAGATCTCTTTGAAACTTTCAGTATTTCTCAAAAAATTATTTTGACAGACTGCTATGCAAAGCATACGGATTGGATTAACGAGTAAATTTCCTCTTTGGAAAGTGGTGGCACAGAGTTCCCCACGTCGTAAGGATACAATAGTAAAACACGACGTACAGATAGGGTTAAGTGATCGTTTTCTCGGGTCCCAGCACCCCTTCTTCTATACAGACCCCAACGGTTAAGCTGAACTTCGGATGAGTTGACCTTTTTTTCCCTCCCCCTACAACATCAACTCATCTTTAGTAAACTGTAATAGATTTATCTCATACCACAAGTACAGCACCCACTCACCTTTGGCACTTCCGACGACATCTCTGTTCCTTGGGGGTCCTCCGCCCCCTCCACCACCACCACCTCCCCCACCCCCACTCCCTCCCCCACCACCACCACCACCTCCTCCCCCACGTCCTCCCCCTCCTCCTCCCCTCCCTCGTCGACCGCGAGCCGCCTGCGACTGCCTCCTTTGCTCCGCCTGCTCTCGCAGTTTGGCCGGGTCGGCCACAAACTCATCCCTGGCTCCCTGGGAACAACGAGAGTTGATGGTTTATGTCAGTCCAGGGAGTCTCCAAGAAACACATCTCAAAGAAACACATGTACACGTCAAGCGAGTCTCAAAGTCAAAGAAACACATTTGTTTCTGTTTTTGTAAGAGTTTTACAGCACTTGCAACACAAAAAAGTCATAAATAATAAAGTGCCGAAGATTAGAAGTCTTACAAGAGAGTAACAACAAACACAAACAAGGAGAGATAAAGATGATAGATGTTTGATAGGAAAGAAGGAGCAAACCACACCAGAGCACCCGCCAACTACCCACGGCCACAAACTCATCCCTGGCCACCTGGGGACAACCAGAGTTGATGGTTTATGTCAGTCGAGGGAGTCTCGGAGAAACACGTTTACACGTCAAGGGATTCTTAAAGTCAAAGAAACACATTTACACGTCGAGGGAGTCTCAAAGTCAACGAAAACACATCCATACATCAAGGGAATTTAAAAAACACAATCAAAGATCAATTTAGTCTCAAAGAAACATATTTACATGTCATGGGAGTCTCAAAGACACACATTTACACGTCGAGGGATTCTTAAAGTCAAAGAAACACATTTACACGTCAAGATATTCGCAAAGAAACACATTCACACATCAAGATATTCTCAAAGAAACAAGCAACTAGCAAAGGACATCTACGAATGGGGCACAGTTTGCTCGAGAACCAGATATACATAAATAAATTCAATTGACATTTTTATTATGATTAAATTTTTTATTATTATTAACACTGAAAATTACGTTTTAGCACATATGAGGAAGACAGTACCCTGCTGTAGCATTGTTGTACAACAAAACCATCAGCCATACAGGAATCTCTGGTCAGGAACTCGCTGAGTAAAAACTTGGGTCCCCTTAACCCTATCCGTATGTCGTGTTTTACTATCGTATCCATACGACGTGAGGAACTCTGTGCCACCACTTTCCAAAGAGGAAATTTACTCGTTAATCCAATCAATACGCTTTGCATAGCAGTCTGTCAAAATGATTTTTTGAGAAATACTGAAATTTTCAAAGAGATCTTCGTACGTAAAGTGTTCTAAAATGTGAAGAATACAACCCTGGGGGTACAAAATGACCCCAGGGCGTACGGATAGGGTTAAGATGCAGCTTTTACCATGTAACAAAATTTGTTCTCAACGGATCACATGCTTTCATACACACAAAGTGTTTTCCGCCAAAAACCCAACACATACTTTATAAAAGCCACCAAAAAATCTTCTTTTTAAGCATGTTCGTGCGTATAGCAGCATTTCAAAAAAGCTGATTTTCTCAAAAGTGCTAAAAATGGATGTAGTGGGTTTGCATCTCAGCTCCTCATATTATTATCTTTCACTCCGGTACACAAGCAAACAGACACAAGAAGCCATCATCAAAGGTGGGAATGGGTACCCGGCCATAGACCGTGAAAGATCTTGTCAGTATGTTAGTGTTTTTGCCTCTATAAATGGCCGTTTCCACTGTAGTATGCTTCCCAGGAAGTTGAGGTTGTTTCAGAATGTTCTCAGGTCTGCTGGGGTAATAGTATAGATTGTGAAACGCATAGAGCTTGCTGTTGTGTGGGGATTTGCGCTATACAAATGTTATCTATCTATCTTTCTATTCATTGATATATCTGTCTGTCTGCCTGTCTGTCTGTCTGTCTGTCTGTCTGTCTGTCTGTCTGTCTGTCTGTCTGTCTGTCTGTCTGTCTGTCTGTCTGTTTGTCCGTCTGTCCGTCCGTCCGTCCATGCGTCCGTCCGTCCGTCCATCCATCCATCCATCCATCTATCTATCTATCTATCATCAAATCGTCTCACCTGACTCCCCTCCTCCTCATCATCTCCATCATCATCCCTGGCCTTGCTCCGACCTTCACCCTTCGTCTTTTGACGTTCCAAGTCTTGTAAAACCCGAGGCAAGACCCTGTGGTGAGAAAAACACTTAGATTGCAATTGTCAAAGGAAATATGGCAAAACATCATACAACACTTATTTTTCATAAATTAATAGATAATAAATAAATAAATAAATATCAATAGTATAGTGCATTTTCCTGCTCAACAGCAAGCTCTATGTATTTTACAATCTATATTATTACCCCAGCAGACCCTAATGTGAAAGCAGCTGATGAAGCACTTGAACACAAACTGACAAGATCTTTAACTGTCTATAGCTGGGTAACCAGTCCCTCTTGGGCGAAGTGAGGAAAATTTGTGTAAAATGTCTTTCCTGAAGATGTATCATCAGGCCCCTGACAGGGTTCAAACCCATTACCACACCCCCCCCCCCCCCCCCACCATCATCCAGTGCCTTGCCGACTGGCGTGGGCGACCATGGACCTCCACTTCCATCTGTCTTGTGTTGCAGCAATGGTGTCTGTTGTTCTTGCTGCTCCCAGCCATGTTGTCAACTTGTCCAGTATCTTTTCCCTCTGTCTGCCTCTGCCTCTCTTTCCATCAAACTTGCCTGTTGTTACAATATTCTCCAATGCTTTTTTCCGCATTGTGTGTCCCATGAAATTTGCCTGTCAGTTTTGTATATTCGTCGTAAAACCTCTACTAAAACTGTTTAAAAAACTCACCTGTTGGAGTTGAGCTCGTCTGCAGAGTCAGCATCGTCGGCCCCGACAGCGTGGGAGTCGTACGTGTCGTCGTACTCGTCGTCGTACATGGGCTGTCGGTCGTACATGCTCTCCTGGTCCATGCTGCCGTACGCGTCGTAGGTCGCTTTCACCGCAAGGATGGTGCTCTTGTCCTCTATGTCCACCACGTCTTGTCTAGGAAACGGAAGGAAAAATGTTTTTTATTTAGTAGAGGGTTTTACGGCGCTCGCAACTGCATAAGGTCATATGAGCGCCAAAAAGTGGGTGTCAACAGAGAAGTCTTTACATGGAATCAGACTTAGACTGCTCACCTCTCTAGCCTCAACAGCACAAAGTCTGCTTCGACCATCAAGGCACCCCAAAATAGCGGGTCACAAGAGAGTGACAAACATACAAAAGAAGTAGAGGAAAATGACGATAGTAAGGATCAGGAAAGAAAAAGCAGCAGTTCCCTGTTGTAGATCAGGCGTGACATGAGTCAGCCCATTTACAATTCTACTGTGCTTGAACGAGAAATGTCCCCTCTTTGGGAACGGCCTAAAAACACTACAGTCAGTGGCACCGCCCCGGGGGGTTGAAAAATATTTGTCAGGGGTGCCACTCAACTTTTTTTGAAAATAGCTGAAAATCCACACGCCACGTCTCGCTAACATATGAATATCAATTTGAAACCCAAAGGGTGTACATAGAGAGAAATGCAAACAAAAAGAGGATCAAAATACCGGAAATACCGCAAAAAATGCGGAAAAGTGGCATCCATGGTTTGTGTGTGTGAGTGTGTGAGTCTGTGAGTCTGTGAAAACTGGCCCGACTGCCTTTTTGATATAATAATTTGACGGCAAAGTCGTCGTAAAGGAAAGCGCCCGAGCCGCTGGGAACGGCTTACCGAAGATAAAGAGTTGAATTAAAAACATTTTAATACCGTACTATGCGGTTCTTCCCTTCTTGAACACAATCACACAGCACAACACACATACCCACAAAGGGTAGCAAACACGCATAATATAATATAATTATTATTATTATTATTATTCTTATTATTATAATATGTGAGGCAGCGTGGTGGAATCAGGCTCTCGTCAACAATTAGGCACGTAGAGTCATTGGTATCATCTTAAAGCTTGCTCACTTGTCTTTAATAGGAAGAAAAAATATCCATTTATCTTGAATACAAGTCGAGATATTTGCGAAAGAAGGAGGTGGGGGTAATCTGTTTTCAGAGGTAAAATTAGTGAGAAAATGGCCGCCAAAGATTAGTTATTTCCGTAGCTTAAGAGTCCGTGGTAACTGAACATTTACATTTTTTGTGCCTTTAATCAACGTTTTTCAGAAAAATCCACACAGAAATGAGTTCTTTAATGGGCATGAAAGGTGTTGAACCAAAAAACAAAAATTTGATAAAAATTCATAAACCTGCGGAAAAATGAAAGTTTCTTCACTTTGATTATTTTGACGAGAGCCTGATTCCACCATGTTGCCTCACATATATATATATCTATATACTGTTTACACAAAGACAAACGATCTGTCCTAAAATCTGCAGTCAGTGATACAACATTTACTACAATCGCTCAGCGTCATTCCATAATCCCCCCCAAAGAAACTTTTTGGTATTCCAGATGAAGCTGTTATTTGAAGAATAAAAGTCATCAAGGGCGCCTCACCACAGTATAATTTCGTTCTGTTTCGTTATTTCCGTATTAGATTTTCACTCAAAAATAATGAAAACCCAAGCTGTGGCTCTGATTTGGTCGTTTTCTTTTTCTCTTTACTTTCCTCAAAACTTCAAATAATGACTTAACCCTATCCGTACCCATACGATGTGTTTTACTATCATATCCATACAGTGTGGGGAACTCTGTGCCACCACTTAATCCTATCCGTATGTCGTGTTTTACTATCGTATCCATACGACATGGGGAACTCTGTGCCACCACTTTCCAAAAAGGAAATTTACTCATTCATCCGATCCATACGCTTTGCATAGCAGTCTGTCAAAATGATTTTTTGAAAAATACTGAAAGTTTCAAAGAGATCTTCGTACTAGAAGTATTCTAAAATGCGAAGAATACAACCCCGGGGATACAAAATGACCCCAGGACATATGGATAAGGTTAAGCGTTAGTTCAATGACTCTTGTAAATGGTAAATTCTTACTTTTTTCCGATGTGAATTTTGGACATATCTACTTTCTTGTTCCTGAACACATCAAATTCGTCGTTGTCAAAAACATTCTTGCGTGAATCCAAGATGTCTGCCGAATCCGTCTGCCCGTCTCCTTGATTCACCTCTCGCTCTTGTCTGTGGAAGACACGGAGAAACTAGGTCAAGGTCACGTAGCACAGGCAAGCATCTTGTGTGGGCATTTGTGTATATAAATGTGTGTATGTGAGAGAGAGATGTTTGTTTTAGTAAGTGTTTTACGGCACTTGCAACACAATAAGGTCATATAAGTGTCAAAGATTAAAGGTGTTACAAGAGAGTAACAAACATGAAAAAGAAGGAGGGGAGATAAAGACGATAGATGTTTGACAGGAAAGAAGAAGCAAACTACACCAGAGCATCCGCCAACCACCCACTGAGAGAGAGTGTGTGGAAGACACAGAGGAACTAGGGCAAGGTCACATAGCACAGACTAGCATCTAGTGTGGGTATTTGTGTGAGTAAATGTGATTATGTGAGAGAGAGACGTGATGTAGTGTATGTGATAACGCTTTCATAAGTCAAAATTACATCAAAAAGGATTGATTTTGACATAGTGTGTGTGATACGGCTCTATGGTGTCAAATTCACATCAAGAGGGACATATTTCGACGTGACTTAGTGAATATTTTGACGTGAAGTAGTGTATGTGATAAGTCTCTCGTTTTCCTGATTGCCAAATCCAGGACAGTCCCCGGATATTTCCGGACAGTTGGCCAGCCTGCGAGGGCAAATCCTCACCTGGGCAGATCGGGACTGATGTCCAGTAGCGACGACGGCAGTTTTTCCTCCAACACGCTGGACACAACACGCTCCAGTCTCCAGTCCAGTTCTTCTAGAGCAAGCTGAGTGGGTGGGGCACGGGAAGATTTAGTTTTAGTCAGATTTTAGTCAGATTTTTAGTTATAGTAAGATTTTAGTAAGATTTTTAGTTTTAGTAAGACTTTAGTAAGATTTTTAGTTTTAGTAAGATTTTTAGTAAAGTTTCAGTAAGAGTTTTTACCGCCACGCCCAAAAGGGTATAAGCAGCAGATAAAAGTAAAAAGCAAAGTAAGTGTTTTACGGCACTTGCAACACAATAAGGTCATATATAAGTGCTGAAGATTAGAGGTGCTACAAGAGAGTACAAACACAAAAAAGAAGGAGGAGAGGTAAGGACGATAGATGTTTGATAGGAAAGAAGAAGCAAACCACACCAGAGCACCCGCCAACCACCCACAGTAAGATTTTATGGCGCTCACAACTGCATAAGGTCATGTGAGCGACAAGGGGTGGATGTCAGCAGAGAAGTCCTTACAGGGAATCAGGCTTACTCTGCTCACCTCTCTAGCCTCAACAGCACAAAGTCTGCTTCGACTGTCAAGGCACCCCGGAAATAGCCGGTCACAAGAGAGTGACAAACATACAAAAGTACACGAGCGTAAACATTTCTTTTTATATATCACTGTGTGTGTAGATGGACAGACAGACAGATGAATGGATGGATGGACAGACAGATGGATGGACAGACAGACAGACAGACAGCACAAGTCCAGTATGATAGCCCATGTGTATACAGACAAATGGACAGACAGAAAGACAGGCAGACAGACATCTACAAACAGTACAAGTGACCATACCTCTATAAAACCCTCCCCTAGATGAGGGAAGAGATCTTAGAGACTGTTGATTGTCGTCAGCTGATGTCATGATTAATTAAGTAATCCACAACACATCCTCGTGTCGATTTATCGTTCTTGCCTTGTGCACACCAAGAACAGGTTGTTGTGATTGAGTGGTCTACCTTGTATCATGTTGTTGTGATTGAGTGGTATACCTTGTATCATGTTGTTGTGATTGAGTGGTATACCTTGTATCATGTTGTTGTGATTGAGTGGTCTACCTTGTATCACGTTGTTGTGATTGAGTGGTCTACCTTGTATCACGTTGTTGTGATTGAGTGGTCTACCTTGTATCATGTTGTGATTGAGTGGTCTACCTTGTATCATGTTGTGATTGAGTGGTCTACCTTGTATCATGATGTATTATATAATATGTACGTGATGGTCTTGATGATTCCTGCCAGCTAGTAGCACTTGGGAGAATAGGCAAATTATTGGTCACAATTTTTTTTGGCTTCAATGAATTTGTCTTTGGCAATTGATTTTTGACATCAGCATGACTTACATTTATGTATAAACCGTACCTCTATAAAACCCTCTCCTAAATGACTTGGCTATTGTCAACCCTACCTCTATAAAGCCCTCTCCTAGATAAGGGAAGAGAACTTGGTCAGGGTTCCTGCCATGAATTCCCCACCAAATTCTAGGAAATTTCCAGGAGGTTTGAAGGAGAAATTTTTAAAATTCAAGGAGATTTGGTCAAGAAATTCATGCCCAAAGTCTAGATCTATGTCAGATAGGCCCACACTTGACCAAAAGGAATCATAGTTTTGATTTTCCTACAAAAATTTTTTAAATGCAAATTCAAGGAGTTTTCAAGGACTTCTTGAATTCAAGGAAGCCGCAGAAACCCTGTTGGACATAGTTGACCATACCTCTATAAAGCCCTCTCCTAGATGAGGGAAGAGTGACCTTACCTCTATAAAGCCCTCTCCTAGATGAGGGAAAAGATCTTTGACGCTGGACACCAGAGACTCCACCTCCACCTCATTGGGCCGCGGGCTTGACACGGCACCTTCACCCTGCGACACACAAGAACGACACATTGTTAATAAGTACCTGTGAGAACTAATAACAAATGTGAAGCGTGCTGACAAAATGAGTCGCTTATACGATCAAGCCTTACGAAAATAGATACATCACACTTATAGGTGAACTTTTAACAACATATCAGTATGAAATAATAAAAGGCATGTTACAGTTAAAGAATATGGCATCAATAGAAAATCTACAAATTTGATCCAGGGGTCGATTTTTGGCCAATATTTCCATTTGTGGATCCTCAGAAGTAACTCATTTGGTCAGCATGTCTCACATCTTATCTTATCTTACCTTAATTAATCTGATCTTATTATATCTTATCTCATGACTCACATAACCCTCAGACTCAAACTCCTCCGGTAGGCTCGCTCCGTCCCTGAGATCCTTGGGTCTTGCCCCCGCCCATGGCTCGGCTGTCAACGAGCTCACGGTCGCTGGTCTCGCTGCAGCGCATGGGGTGGGGTGGGGGGGGTTAGAATAGAAAATGTCCGTTATAGACACATGTAGCACACACGGAGGAACATGGAAAATGTAAGTTATAGACACATGTAGCACACACGGAGGAACATGGAAAATGTAAGTTATAGACACATGTAGCACACACGGAGGAACATGGAAAATGTCAGTTAAAGACAGTGTGGCCTATACGGGCTGGCTAGAACTAGAACGTTGACCATCTGAATAAATTATGTAATTATGCAATAGAAGATGTGAAACTTTAACACGTGTGTAAAAGATATCATTATAAAATAATGTTTTATGGTTTTTTTACTTTCTTGTCTCTCTGTATCTCTCTCTCACACATACACAAACAGACACACAAAGATGCATAAATAGTACTCATGCACTCTCAAACACACACACACACCACACATTCGTTTACATAAACACATCAATATATACACAGAAACAATCAACATGCATTAAATCTATATTCACTAAAATAAAGACACGCACACACAATATACATACCCATCACCCCTTTCCCTCTAGCCACAGCACCGGCATGCGTCGTCGAGGAGTCCGGCGCCCCATCTGGACTGGTGCGACCGCCTGTGTTTGTATCGCCCCTGGGAGAC